AGGCCCTCCACAAAATAGGGAAATCCCTTGAGAAACAGAGTACCCACATGGTGGCAGGAGCCATAGGTTGCCTATTTCTCACAGTTAAAAGAAAGGCTATAAATGAGAAGGGAATACTCCTGTGAGAAGCATGAGAAGAGGCAGCAGAAGAACGTGAGCTGCAAGGTGCTGTGGAGGAGGTAAAAGATTTTTGAAGATTGAGATGGCATTGCTGAAAGGCACTGTGGAAAAGGTAAAGGCATTGAAAGAGAAGGATGTACTCCTGAAAGAAGCACAAGAAGAGGCAGGACGAGAATGCCAGCTGTGAGGTACTGTGGAGGAGTAAGAGGTTGGTTGTAGATTGAGATAGTGTCACTGCAAGGTGCTGCAGAGAAGATAAAGGTTGTAGTAGTGGAGGCACTCTGTGGAGTAGTGAGAAATCTGCCATCAGCTCCTGAAGTGGTGGAGGATACTTCGGAGAAGGACGAGGAGATGAAGTTTGTGCCAGAGGCACTAACACCTTCTCTACTGAAATTCACCCAGTTGCAGTCAAGAAAATTAAGACTCAGCAACCATGGTTCCTCCAGGGGAGGTTCAGCCCCTCCCCAGGTTGTGGAGCACTCTATGTTCTGCCTAGGCAGAGTGGTGGATTTGGGCTCCTGGTTTCAGGAGAAACTCTTCGAGTCAATATCAGCTTGGCTCCTGTTCCTTTGGGATGTGGGGGTAGATAGTATCCTCCTGTCTGGATCAGGGATGTGAAAACTGGCTTTCCTGACAACTTATCCTGCCTTGTGGCAGCAACTGCACATGCACAGCAGACCCCAGGTAACCATTCATTTACTGAGTGTGTGATGGCTGCCCTTCACCCTGCATGGCCCAATCAGGGTGAGTTACCATCTTCCCCTGCTGGAAGGCAGATGTATGCCCAGCTCCAATAGGTGTTACAGGAGTTAGGCAAGAAAAATGCCATTTGTGACCCAGGAAATCATGACCCTGACAAGTAGCTGTTTACTATGGGGATGAGGGATATGGTGCTGCAAATGGCTTCCTTGTCCCTCTTTGGGCCCTTAGTGGCCATTATTGCCCCTCGCTTAAGGCAGCCCATAATTGCAGTTACCTGTACTGTAGCAGATATGTGGGAGGCTGAATTGATGTGGGGCTGGAAGGGAGTGCAGTTCACTACTGAGAGGAAGGGCTTAGAGGGCCCTGTGAAGGTAGTGGGGACCCAGATGTGTGTTGATCTGATAAAGGCAGGAGCAGGTAAAGAGAAATTGGATGGGAAGTCAAATAAAATCTTACTAGAGCTGTGGTAACAACTGAAGCCACAGCAGCAGTTTTGGTCATTGGCTAAGGTGAAGATCAAGAAATGGAAGCTGAAGACAAAGCCACAAGTCCAGCCTGTACACTTGAAAGACTTCCTGCTGTAGAGATAGCTGACCTCACCTGTACCCTCACAGGAAGCTGATTGGATGTTATGGTTTGACTGAGGGGAGGGTCAAGGTACCTGCCTGAGGGACCAGGTGGGGACTGGAGGCCACATGTTGAAATATCAATTAATTGGTCATCACCAAATGTACATGTCCTGGCTCTGGTAGATACAGGAGCTGAAAGCTGGCTGATTTATGGCAACCCTGTGTGGTTTCATGGTAACCATGCTGTTCCAGATGGATATGGGGATAAGGCTATCGGAGTGAAACAAGCCCAAATCCCATTGGGAATAGGGCATCTATTCCCAGAGGAGTATATTGTGTATATCACTCCCATCCCTGAATATATTTTGGGGATAGATATCCTGCAGGGCCTATGGGTGCTGTCCACTGCAGTTGAGATCAGACTGAATATATGTGTGGTGAAGGCAGTTCTGAGGGGACATGCTAAAACACCCACCCATAGCTTTGCCTGTGCATCAGCAGATGACTAATACTAAGCAATATAAATTTCCTGGAGGGCATAAAATTGGAGAAACCCTCCAGGAACTAGAGAGGATGGGTATTATAAAACCCACCCACAGCCCTTTTAATTCCTTGGTGTGGCCAGTAAAATAGCTGTATGGCTCCTGGAGTATGACAGAGAATTACAGAGAACTGAATAAAGTCATTCTCCCTCTGTATGCTGCCATCCCCTCTATTGCAACCCTTAATGTATCATTGTATTGCAATGTATCAATGTATTGCAACCATAATGTATCATTATGTTGTGGTTCTTGCTAATATCTTTTTTTCATTGGTATATCACAGGAAAGTTTGCCTTTATGTGGGCAGGATGGCAGTGGACTTTCACTGTCCTTCCACAGGGATACCTCCACAGTCCCACCATCTGTCATGAACTTCTATCCCAGGACTTGGCAACATGAAACTGCCAACTATGCAGCTGTACCATTATATTAGTGATATCATGCTCATGCCTTATTCTCTACCAGACCTAGAAGGTACAGCACCTAGACTGCTGCAACATCTATAGGAGAAAGGATGGGCTGTGAACAGCACTAAGTTTCAGGGACCTGGTTTATCTGTAAAGTTCTTGGGGGTTGCCTGACAGGGTAAAACTAAAGTTATCCCAGAACTAGTATTAGATAGGGTCCAGGCTTTCCCTACCCCTACCACTGTGGCAGTATTGCATGAGCTCTTGTGTCTTTTGGGCACTTAACACAAATTATGAAGCCCTCATACTATTTGGTAAAAAAGGCATCAGGTGAGACTGGAATGAGACACGTGCCTTTGCCACTGCAAAATGGGCTGTCAAGGCCATACAGGCCTTGCGTGTGATAGAGCCATCAAGGCCCTGTGAGCTGGATGTTCATGTGACTGAAGACCATTATGGCTGGGGTCTCTGGCAGCAGCTGGAATGAACTTGCCACCCTACTGGATTATGGTCACAACTCTGGAAAGGAGCAGAAGTAGTATGGTACACCTAACAGAGAAACAGTTGGTTGCCATGTACCGTGCCTTGCTGGCTGTGCAGCCCATCACCAGAACAGCCCCAGTAAAGGTAATAACTATGTATCCCACTGTGTGATAAGTACAATATTGGACCCAAAAACCATGGAGTGGTGTGGCACAGATTCCTATACTGGCCAAGTGAGGTGCATACCTACAGCAGTGTAGCACCTTCTCTACTAGTGCATTGATTGGAGAACTGCAACACTTACTAAGGCCAGTGACATATACCAGTGAAAGGCAGGAAGAACATGCCTTAGAGCCACTAGTAGCAGAGAGCCCTTATCAGGAGGGAAGAACCCCTACATCTGAAGATGCATGGAATACAGGTGGCTCCAGCCTTGGGCAGCCATTGAGATGGAGGGCTGTAGCTTTCCATCCTAAAACTGAGACAATATGAATGGAAGATGGTGAGGGGAAGAGCTGTCAATGGGCAGAGTTGCAGGTGGTATGGCTCATGATCACTCAGGAGCCCTCCCTTATAGTTGTCTGCACTGACAGCTGGGCTGTCTATCGAGGCTTGACTCTGTGGCTACTGAAATGGTACCATGCCAGCTGGTTGGTTGGTGAACAGCCCCTTTGGGGGCAAGAGTTGTGGCAAGACTTATGGGCTTTTGGACAGACTAAAACAGTTACAGTATGTCATGTGATAGGTAATTTGCCATTGGCATCCCCAGGAAATGATGAAGCAGATGAATTGGCCCAAGAATGTTGGCTAGAATGAAAGCCTGCCTCTGATGTGGCCCAATGGTTACATCAACATTTGTTGCATGCAGGGCAGAAGACAATGTGGACTGTAGGCCATCTTTGGCACCTGCCTTTGACCTTTGAAGAAGTCAGCATAGCCCCACAGGAGTGCATTGTATGCTCTAAAAGGGAGTTACACCAAGTCCCACAACAACCTTGGGTTATAGCTAAGGGGCCAATACCTCTTGTCAGGTATCAGATAGACTATATTAGGCCTCTGTTTGTGTCAGATGGGTACCAACATGTCATGACTTGTGTGAACACAGCTACTGGACTTCTGGTTGCTTTTCCTATGTGTTATGCAGACCAACAGACCAACAAATGACCAAAAGAGGGCTAGAGTGTCTCTTTGCAGCCTATGGCCAACCACAGGTAATTGAAAGTGATCAAGGCTCCCACTTTACTGGACATGCTCCATAAGAATGGGTGCAATAGTTAGGGATAAAGTGGAAGTTTCAAATATCATATAATCCTACTGGGACAGGCATGATTAAGAGGTACAATGGTTTGTTAAGATGTGGCCTGAAATCAGATACTAATAGACTATGAGGATGGTCAGTCCACTTAGGGACAGTGCTATGGTGCTTAAATGAGAAGCACCTGGAGGTGAGCATTGAGCCCCATAGACATGCTAGCACACATTGCTACCTCCCCTATACAACTACAGATACAAACTAAGAATAGTTGAAGCTGGGGTTTGGCCACCAGAATAATATTTTGCCACCAACACCAACTACAATAACCCCGAAGACTCCATTCAGTGGACATGGCCTTGGACGTTTTGACACATGGACCACAGATGGCTTGCCTTCCTGGCACCTTAGGGACAAGGTCTGGAAGCTGGTCTCCTGTGTATTCCTGGAGCAATGGAAGAGTGGTCCCCAAAGATCACAATAGTGCACCCTAAATGGCTGGAAGGTAGAAGCATCTTAGAGGGGGTTTTGTTTTATCTTTACGGCCAGTGCATGCACCTCCAGTAGCGCTATATATATAGACTTCAGTAACTCCACAGAGAGAGGGGTAAAGGTTTGGTATACTAGATCTGGAAGGGACTCCCTTCATGCCATGGTCCTATTACAGCACCACTCTCTTGCATGCATCCTACCTGATGGACAAGATTTGCCTATGTTGATTTTATTAAAACATGTGTCTTATCGCCCTTCATGTTAATCTCCTCTAATGTGTTTGTGGGTTGGGCACACACCCTAGCAAAAACTACTGCTTGCTGGGTGTGTATGGAGCTACCTACCAGTTCTGCTACTGGTCTCCTGCAGAAAGTGAGAATCATGCATGAACTCATCTGAGTGGAATTGGTTTAAATATGGCTGGAATGACTACCTGGTGGCATCAATCTCCTTAGGCTTGAGGACGAATATCATCATCACAATCTTTGTTATTATCTATATGTTGTTGTTATCCTCTATTGATGTTGTGGAATCTGGTCACAATGCTTCCACTTTCTCAAACAGGCACCATTACAGAAGATTAAGGGCATGTAGATTTTGAGGCAAGAATCCTGGAGGGGTGGAGTGTGAGGAAAATGGAAGTTTCTATGTCCAGAATGCTCACCTGGCCCTAACCTACTTGCCCACTGCTCACATGCAATGGTGTGATACTTGGCCTACTGCACAAGCACATGCTTACACATGTGTTGGCAATGATCCCCTACTGTATAAAAGAATGACTGCTAGGCACTTGTGTGTGGAGGTGGGGATGGATCGTAAATGGTGGACTTGCTGCTTGTGGATGTGGATCCACAGATGTGGAAGGGATTCTAGCGCTCAGCCTGCCACTATGAGAAAAAACTTGGTATAAGACCTTTCAACCCAATGTTCCGTTGTAGTTATTCAGTCTCACTGAACCAGAGTGAACTTGCCCAGAGCTGAAACCCTCCAGCGCTACATACTAGCAAGGAATGCAAAGGCTGACAGTTAGTTGTGCAAAGGGAATGCAGGACAGCTGTCCAGTACGCACATTAGGGAGCAGGAGGCAGGGAAGGCCCAGTCATCTGAGCCAGAGCCACAGCCATCCTCTGAGGAAGGCAGATGAAAAATACTAAACACCAGCCAGCTTTGTGGGGAGGTGAGGGGATAGGGTCTTGTCTCCCCAGAGCTTGGAGATTCTGGCTCTACATTCTCCATGTCCATGAAGCCTGGCCCAGGGCCCTATAGGAAGGACAGCCATTACTTTTCTTGCTGTCTGTCATTGTGCAAATCCTGACAGCTGCAAGATAAAAACATCTCTACTTTTTTTTGTATGCTCTTTATTATTTTTTTCTTTTTATTAAAGTATAATTGATATACATTCCTATGAAGGTTTCAAAAGAAAAACAATGTGGTTGCTACATTCACCCAGATTATCAAGTCCCCCCCCCGCATACCCCATTGCAGTCACTGTCCATCAGTGTAGTAAGAAAAAACATCTCTCATCATAGCAGTTATATGACACCAGGGAATCAGATTAGAGCCTATAGCATGGACTTAGTTTAGGAATTGAAGACAGTCAAGAGCTGGCGGGGTGTGTGGGAGAGTTTACTCCAGGTGGGATTGATACAGATGTTAATTATTCCCACTACAGGCAACTTCCTGCTAGGAGAACCTGCCCTGGAGCCAAGAATTCCTTGCTACCTTCTTCCCCAACAAGAAAAGAAATTCAAGGCTCACAGACATGTTTACACACAGTACAATACACTGAGCATCCCATACTCCAAACCCACCCTCAATTTACAGGAGATTGACTCCTGCTGTGCATATAAGCTGGGATAATCACGTGTCAACTTCCTGAACGTGTCAGCTTTCTAAATGTGTCAAATTCACGAGTCCCAACTCTCACATGCTGGGGGCTGGGGAAGGAGTACTCTTTCCCGTATTCTTGGCTTTTTCATGGTCTGCAATACCTGATCAACAGATAGAAAGATTGGAGTGTGATGCAAGGCTCTCCTTTCAGAATCACAAAGGCCTATACTTTGAGCCCTCCTATTTCTGCCCCTTACCTTTAGTGTTTCCTTTAGTGTTGATGACTCCCCTTTGATCCTAGTCCTGAGATTCAAAACCTCACAAAGCCAAAACCTTGTATTTCCCCTTCTCAAGATTCTCTAACTTTAAAACTATCAGAATCAAACCTCTACCCCCACCGTGTACCAGCAGTGACAGCTTGCTAATCTTTCAGCCACTAATCTGCTTTCCAAACTCTTAGCACCTGAGCTATTTATAAAGCAGCATTTCATGCCCCCTTCCCAGAACCCTATTCTTCTACCCCGACCCTCACCAATCCAAACACTCAGAGGACCTTGTGGATAAGGGGCTCGGGAGGCAAACATACCAGGGCTGGAGATGGATGTGAGTTTCATCTCACTCCCCAGGTAATAGTCCAGAGTCCTCTTTTTCTAGCCCCTACTAGGTCCCATATCCCTTGCCCTTAGCACCACTCCCCACTAATATATCATTGAGCATTTGAGGGGCACCTTTCCTGAGACAGCTGGCAGGTACTCAGGGTGAGAGACCCTGTGAAAGACCTCTAGAAGCTCCCCAAAGCTCAGCCATCAAACCAGACCTAATATACATCAAAGAGAAGTACTAGAGAGACATCTCCCTCTCTAAGGGTCCCTACTCCATAGCCTAGTGCCTGGGGACATGGATGGGGATAAGGATGGGAAAATCTGCAGAGGGTGATTGTCTTGTCAATGGGTTTCAGCCCAAGACAAGTTCACTATGGATTCAGTGAGACTGGAAAAAACTGACAGTGGAATGTTTAGGGGTTAAAAGCATTTACACCCAACTTTATTTCCAGAGTGGCAGGTCAGTCACTAGAATCCTCGTTCACCTCAGACAAGTCTGCATGCAGCAAGCTTTTCTCTGCCTCTGGGCCTCTCTGCACCAACAGCACTCTAATACCAAAACCAGGCAAAGACACCATTAAAAAAAAGAAAATTACAGACTAATATCCCTGAAAAACATAGATGCAAAAATATTCAACAAAATATTAGCAAACCAAATTCAAAAATACATAAAAAAGATCATCCATCATGATCAAGTAGGATTTATTCCAGGGATGCAAGGATGGTACAATATTAGAAAATCCATCAGCATCATCCACCACATCAACAAAAAGAAGGACAAAAATCACATGATCATCTCAGTGGATGCTGAAAAACATTTGACAAAATTCAACATCAATTCATGGTAAAACTCTCAATAAAATGGGTATAGAGGGCAAGCTCATATATGACAAACCCACAGCAACATCAAACTTAACACCAAAAAGCTAAAAGCTTTTCCTTTAATATTGGAAACAAGACAAAGATGCCCACACTCCCCACTTTTATTCAGCATAGATCTGGAGGTCCTAGCCATGGCAATCAGACAACACAAAGAAAGAAAAGGCATCCATACTGGTAAGGAAGAAGTTAAATAGTCACCGTCTGCAGATGACATGATACTGTACATATAAAACCCTAAAGAATCTGCCCCAAACCTGTGAGAACTTAGAACTGAATTCAGCAAAGTGGCAGGATACAAAATTAATACACAGAAATCTCTTGCATTCCTATACACTAATGATGAACTAGCAGAAAGAGAAATCAGGAAAACAATTCCATTGACAATTGCATCAGAAGAATAAAATACCTAGGCATAAACCTAACCAAGCAGGTGAAAGGCTAATACTGCAAAAACTACAAGACACTCATGAGAGAAATTAAAGAAGACACCAATAAATGAAAATACATCCCATTCTCATGGATAGGAAGAATTAGTATTGTCAAAATGTCCATACTGCCCAAAGCAATCTACAGATTCAATGCAATCGCTAGTAAAATTCCAACAGCATTCTTAAATGAACTAGAGCAAATGGTTCTAAAATTCAGATGGAACCACGAAAGACTCCAAATAGTCAAAGCAATCCTGAGAAGGAAGAATAAAGTTGGGGAGATTATGCTCCACAACTTCAAGCTTTACTACAAAGCCACAGTAATCAAAACAGAATAAAGAGCCCTGATATAAACCCAGACATGTAAAGTGAGTTAACATACAATAAATGAGCCATGAATATACAATGGAGAAATGACAGCCTCTTCAACAACCAGTGTTGGCAAAACTGGGCAGCTACATGCAAGAGAATGAAACCAGATTATTGTCTAAGTCCATGCACAAAAGTAAACTCAAAATGGATCAAAGACCTGAATGTAAGTTATGAAACCATAAAACTCTTAGAAGAAAGCATAGTAAAAATTATCTTGAATATAAACATGAGCATCTTTTTCCTGAACACAACTCCTCGGGCAAGGGAAACAAAAGCAAAAATGAACAAATGGGACTACATCAAATTAAAAAGCTTCTGTATAGCAAAGGACACCATCAGCAGAACAAAAAGGCATCCTATAGTATGGGAGAATATATTTGTAAATTACATATCTGACAAGGGGTTAACTTCCAAAATATATAAAGAACTCACGCTCCTCAACACCCAAAAAGAAATAACCAGATTAAAAAGGGGGCAGAGGATCTGAACAGACACTTCTCCAAAGAAGAAATTCAGATGGCCAACAAACACATGAAAAGATGCTCTACATCATCAGAGAAATGCAAATTAAAACCACGAGATACCACCTCACACCAGTCAAGATGGCCAATATCCAAAAGACAAACAACAACAAATGTTGATGAGGATATGGAGAAAGGGGAACCCTCCTACACTGCTTGTGGGAATGTAAATTATTTCACCTACTTTGAAAAGCAGTATGGAGGTTCCTCAAAAGCTAAAAATAGAAATACCACTTGACCCAGGAATTCCACTCCTAGGAATTTACCCAAAGAAAACAAGATTCCAGATTCAAAAAGACATATGGACCCCTATGTTTATTGCCGGCACTATTTACAATAGCCAAGATATGCAAGCAACCTAAGTGTCCATCAGTAGATGAATGTATAAAGAAGATGTGGTACATATACACAATGGAATATTATTCAGCCATAACGAGCAAAAAAATCCTGACATTTGCAACAACATGGATGGAGCTAGAGGGTATTATGCTCAGTGAAATAAGCCAGGCAGAGAAAGACAAGTACCAAATGATTTCCCTGATATGTGGAATATAACAACAAAGCAAAAACTGAAGGAACAAAATAGCAGCAGACTCACAGACTCCAAGAAGGGACTAGCCATTACTGAAGTGAAGGGGTTGAGAAGGGTGGGTGAGGAGGGAGGGTTTTAAGGGGTTTTAAGGGGCATTATGATAAGCACACATAATTTAGGGCATCATGGGGAAGGTAGTATAGCACAGAGAAGACAAGTAGTGACTCTATAGCATCTTACTATGCTGATGCGCAGTGACGGCAATGGGGTGGTTGGGGGGACTTGATAATATGGGCAAATGTCATAA